TGTGCACAGCCGTTGAGTGTCCTGTGGGCACTCTTGCCAATGAAAAATCTGTGTATAATTTTCTGAACTTCTCTATATTTTTGCACAGTTTTAAACTCATAGAGATAAAAGGGACTTTAGTGAGCTTCGAGTCTATTTAATTCTTTTATTTATTAAAAATGAGGAAACTGAGACCAAAAAGGGAAAAGGGAATTAATGTCGCCCAACTAGCTAATGTCAATGTTGGGACCAGACCCAGTTCTCTCTAAGGAACGGTCAAATCAGTTTATATGAAACCACTTGAAAATAAAATTAACATTGTTTAACTGAAGTGTTGAGGTAAATGTTTTCCTAAAGAGCCGATATAACAATTTAATATTATACAATTAATTCCATTATTTTCTAATGTTAAGATGGATTTGAAAGCAAGATTTTACTAAACAGTGAATTGATTATATCAAACCAATTGTATTTGGGGAAACACATCAAAGTCAACATCAGCAGAGGAAGCACTCATTTAAGAAACTTGTGATTTGAAATTACTACTGCTTATTTCTATTTTTATGATAAAATAGAACCTGGGCAAAATTATGAGTAGCCCAAGAAGCAATTCACAAGGCTGATTTTGACCAATCTAGATCAGGACTGGTGAGTCCAGTCCAAAACACTGGGCCAAAACGAAGTCTGAGTGCTATCACATTTCCCCATGTTGCCAGAAGGGCCACTGTGCTTTTCTTTCCTGGCTCAACTTTGGTCACATCAACTCAGCTACAAAATTGCCATAAGTTTTCCTATGCTGCCACCTACTGTATATAATGAGTATGGTTTTAATAAAGCTTTTGTCTTCTATTATTCCGTGTGTTTAGATGTGAAATAGAATTCAGGTATTGGCCACTCAACTGAACTTAAATATCCAAATACGGGACATTTAAAATTGTTTCCTCTAATGACTAGAGATACCTTAATGTCAACCAAAGTAAACATTTCTCTAAATCTTCATTTTCAAAACACCTCTTTTGTCCTTAGAGAAGTATAAAGTTTAAATCATATGATTCCCTTCTTAAAATCAGTACCCTACAAGAGGTTAAATACATTTCCATTGTTCATGTCTTGATGTGAAACAGAATGTACCCAGCCACTGCAAAGAACAAGGCACTGGTGGACTGGGAGCTGTGGGTTAGGATAACTTTCAGGAAAAGTTGTTATAGAAATGCGGCCTTATCTCAGGAAATTAGACCTGGTTTGGCAGTGAGCAGAGAAGGACACTTGGTACCCCGGAATCTAGGCTGGAGAAAAAGGAGAGAAAGATGCAAGGAAAATAGGTGAAGATAAAAATAAAAACAAAGCATCATGTTCCAGGCACTCCCACAAGAACTTCACAAGTATTCCCACATGGGTCTCACAACCCAAGAGGCAGATACTCAGCCCACTTACAGACGAGGGAATCAGGCCTTGGGGCGTTACAATGGCCAAGACACCCGCTGATGGCACAGCCCTCAGCTCTCGGCCACAGAGCTGGGCTACCTGGAAGGCACAGTCCCAGGAGAACATGGACAAGCAGAACTATCAGGAACCGGAGCCAAAGCAGCCATCTGGGTTAACATAATTGGTTTTGGTTAATAAATCACAGCCAAGAGGGGCCTAGGGAGACATGACAACCACATGTAGTGTGGTATCCTACATGGGATTCTGGAACAGAAAAAGGACATTAGGTAAAAACTAAAGAAATATGAATAAAGTGTGGACTTTAATGATAACGCTTCAGTGTTGGTTCATTGATTGTGACAAATGTACCATACTCAGATAAAATGTTAAAAAACACACAAAACCCTGCCTTTTAGAGAATGATTAATACTATGGAAAGCATCTGACTCCTAAGAGAGTTAGAAGACACATTAGTATAAAATCTGATTTTGAGCGGAGGATTTAAGATGACGGCGGAGTAGGTGGATGTTACACTCACCTCCTCCCAGCACCACACTGGAATTACAACTAAAATATAGAGCAAGCAACCTGAATAACCAACTGAAGACTAGCTGGAGAGAATATACAACCAAGGACTTACAGAAGCAGCCACATTGGGACTGGTAGGAAGGACAGAGCTGTGAAAAGGGCTGACCCTGCTCCCACAGGCAGCAGCTGAGAGTCCACAGAGGTATCTCAGTTGCAAAGTTTCCCCAGAGGAGCCTGGAGTCTCAACCCCACGCTGGGCTCCCGAGCCCCGAGCACCAGAGCTGGGAAGAGGCACCCACATACAACTGGCTGTGAAAATCAGCAGGATTTCTGTCTGCCAGGGGGAGACTGGACACCGCTAGAGACATAGGAGCCCTCTTAAAGGGTCAGTGCACAAAATCTCATTTGCAGCCACTCACCCTGGGTTCCCCCAGAGGGAGTGTGGAGGGGTCTAGAGCAGCGTAAGGAGAGACTGACATTTGTGGTTCTGGGGAGAGAGCTGACGTGACAGCCACCAGAATCTCTGTGCTGAGTCCATCACAGTGCAGACACCATCTTTCTTGGGTGGAGCACACCCGTCCATACAGCATCAGCCTGGGTTTCCGGAAAGCACTAGCCCCATACTCTAGACTTTGTCGCCCTGCCCTGTGTACCTTGCACTCTACTGAGGAGTCAACTGCCTGGACTGGGGTGTAAAGATCTCGGCAGACTCAGGGGGTGTCAGTGACCGAGTTGTGTGGCTTTTGGGTGGGCATCATTCCTGGCCCCTTCCCGTGAACCTGACTGGCACCTTCCCCTCATGGGAGATCAGCTAACCCCACTCCCCTCACACCTGGCAGAACGGCTTCCATCAACAAACAAGTGCTGGCGAGGGTGTGGAGAAAAGGGAACCCTTGTGCACTGTTGGTGGGAGTGCAGACTGGGGCAGCCACTGTGGAAAGCAGTATGGAGGTTCCTCAAAAAATTAAAAATGGAACTGCCATTTGACCCAGTGATCCCACTTCTAGGAATATATCCTAAGAAACCTGAAATTCAAAATAATATATGGACTCCTATGTTCACTGCAGTATTATTTACAATAGCCAAGGTCTGGAAGCAGCGCAAGTGCCGATCAGTTAGATGAGTGGATCTGTGGGACATGTACACCATGGAATACTACACAGCTGTAAAGAAGGAGGCTCTATTGCCCTTTGGGACACCATGGAGGGAACTGGAGAGTATCATGCTAAGTAAAATAAGCCAGGCAGAGGAAGATAAGTAACATATGATTACACTTATATGTGGAATCCAATGAACAAAATAAACTAACAAAATAGAAACAGACTCATAGAGAGAGAATAGTCTGGCAGCTATCAGAGGGGAAGGGGGTTAGGCGTTGGGTGAAAAAGGTGAAGGGATTATGCAAAGGGGAAAAAGCCTCAGACAACAGTATGGTGTATCAGAGGGATCTGGGGTGGTGAACACAGGGTAAAATATATAGATGGCTTATAGAGCTGTACACCTGAAACCCATATAATTTTATTAACCAATGTCACCCCAATAAATTCAATGTTTAAAAAATGAAAAAAAATCTAATTTTGAATCAGCTTAATAATACCAATTGCACACATGACCAGAGAAAGGAAACCATCAACTGATTTCAATTGTCCAAATCCAGATGTTTTGTACTAAGGGGAAACATGATCAATACTATTTCTTCTGTTGAGACTTCTCTTTTGTTCATAAAGATTCAAACACACACTCAACTCTATTAATAGTTTATATTAATATCATTACTCAAGGGGTGCTCACTACGTACTAAGCCCTTGGTGGCTTATCTTAGCTCGATCTTCATAGTCCTGTGGGAGAGGTGCTATCATTCCCATTCTACAGAATTGCACCAAGCAGCCTGACTACACAGGCAATGCACAGCAACCCATCCTTAACTATGTCAGATCACACCGTTTCTTAGTGAATGCCAAGTCAAGAAATCAAACAGGTGAGCAACTTAATGCTATTATTAAATGAATTAAGATCACGTCATTCAGTAAAACAATTGCAAATGATTTAGATACTCCACCCACAAGGAGCTAGAGCAGCCTAAAGTGTGGGCTGTCCAGACATCCTCTCAACGAATGGAAGGAGTGAGAAAAGTAACTTTACAGTGGAAAAACTTGACAGATGTCACCTCAGTCAGGTGATCAAGCTCAATATTGACAGTGATAAATCATGTTGATAGCATGTACCCTTTATATGTGACGAAGATGGCACTTTATCTCTGTGGTCTTCCTCCCCCAAAACTCGTAACCCCATTCTAATTATGAGAAAAACATCAGACAAGTCCTAATAGAGGGCTATCCTACAAAATACTTGACCAGTACTCCTCAAAACTGTCGTCATCAAAAACATGGAAAGTCTGAGAAATTATCATAGCCAAAGGGAGTGTAATGAGACATAAAATGAAATGTGGTATCTTGGAAAAGAAAAAGGGTATTTGTAAAAACTAAGGAAATCTGATTAAGCTGTGAGCTTTAGTCATTAGTAACATGATTTTTCATTAAAATTATATATTCTTAATTGTAACAAATGCATCACACTAATGTAAGATAACAAAGGGGAAAATGAAGGGTATATAGAAACTGAAGTATCTTCTCAATTTTTCTATAAATCTAAAATTGTTCTAAAATACATTTTTTAAAATATATCTTTATTGATTTTAGAGAGGAAAGGAGAGGGAGAGAGAGAGACAAACATCAATGATGAGAGAGTCACTGATCGAGCCTGCAACCCGGGCAGGTGCCCTGACCGGGAATCAAATCCTGATCGCCTGGATCCTAGGTCGACGCTCAACCGCTGAGCCATGCCCGGGAGGGCTAAAATATATTTTTTAAATATTTCAGTCTATACAAGTACACATAGTAATATAAATGTATAGAAAATATGGCTAGTGACACTAAACCAGTAATATTTTTTATCTATGCTGTAGGAGTTATTTATATGGAAGATATATACCTCTATTACTATTCAAATAATTTCAGATATATTGAGGGGAAGGTAGGAAAGAAAATAAAAACCAGTGTAGGCTTCTCTCTGATCAGCAGAAAAGTTTTATTCCTTATAAGGACAAACAGTTTAAACCACATCCAAGGCCTTAGCTTACAGACACAAACCAAAGTAGCCATGTAAAGCATTAGATATTGAGGTACGAGACATACATGAGGGAAATGCTTCGCCATCTGAGCTTACACCGAACTGCTCAATTGACAGCTGAGCTCTGCTAGCACTTGGGTGTAGTTGAGAGGGGGAGTATAGCTACAGAACCAAAGGAGAACAGCCGTTTTCTACAACACTGAAGCATTTTAAGACTACACTGGTAGGGATATATTTAGACGGTGAAAGGAAGAGGGGAGAAGTGCTTGGTCCCTTCCCACGGGGCATTAGGCGGCCTTGCAGAGGGCCACGGCAGAAAAGCGGACTTCCCCTTGCTCACGCTCAGTGAATTCTCTGCAGACCTTGGCGGCATCCTGAAAAGGAGGGATCTCATTAATATCCAAACAGCAACAGCTCAAAATGAAAGTTTCAAAGGGAAAAGTACCAGTAAGGCCTATGAACGCTCAAACTTCACCATGGTCAAGTTTCAACTTCCCATTAAACTTGAAAACAAGGGCAAGAGAAAAAAAATCACGTGATGGGAGAGACGACTTGCATCAGAGATCTGACTTCAGAAGCCTGGACACCCTTTATCACTTCCACCAAATGCCCTGTTTCTCCCACCTTGTGCCTGGTTTTGACAACAAAACTACACTATTTTGTGCACTTTTTCTCAAGTCGAAACAAGATAGAAAATTAATGTCTTCCATAATGGAAAAGTTCTCCTAACTCAGAAATTCCCAGAGTACAGATGAATTTCTTCCAAGTAAAGATTTTACAAAAGAGCATTAAAAGTTTAAATACCTGGTATTCCAGATAAGACAAATGATGTGTTACTAATTCTAAGACTTAGATTACAAAGATTGGTAACAAAAAATTGATCCCAATACAGGCATACCTCTTTTAATGCATTCTGCTTTACTGAGCTCCACAGATTTTTTTAAAAACTGCTTTTACTGATTTTTTAGAGAGGAAGGAAGGGAGAGGGGGAGAGAGAAACACTGATGTGAGAGCAGATAACTGGCTGTCTCCTACACACCCCCTACCGGGGATCAGGCCTGTAGTCTGGGTACATGCCCTGACCAGGAATCAAACCAGCAATCTTTTGGTGCATAAGGCGACACCCAACCAACTGAGACACACTAGCCACAGCGCTACAGATTTTGCGTTTAACATATTGAAGAAAAGACCCTTCACCAGCAAAAAGATTACAACTTGCTTTATTGTGATACTCTATCACCGAGGTCTAGAATCAAACCCACAATATCTCGGATGTCTGTATTAGTAATTTACTAAATTCTAGGTTTTAAAAATGCCTTGGGATCATAAATATCAATCACTCTGTTCAATTTGTCAAGAGTCCAGTTGAAAGATAGCTCCACAATTATAAGACCTTTAAGAGGACAGGTCATACTCTGACAATGAGCATCAGCTCCCAAAGTCTAGAAATCACCAACCCAATAATGAGTGTGTCCCTTAAAAAGATCAACCAAAGTGGAGTTTCATTCCTGCTTTGAAACCACTTAGCAAAACTAAAGTGAGTCTAGACTGACATCTACATTTTGTCAGAATTTTTAATACATTGAAATTCCAGACCTGTGTAGGGCTTTACTACAGTGTTGACTAATATTGTGTGGTCCTCTAGAGAAAATGGCCCCCTCCTGTATAGACACTGAGCTGAGACCTAAGTCATTCAATTTAGGATGCTTGGGCTAAGTTTATGTATTTTCTCACTGGCTTAAATAAATTTTGTGTATAGTTTGAAAAACCTAAAACATCTTTAACCATATACAACCAGCCTCACTCTAGAATGTTCACTAATTAAGATGCCAGTTTACATTCATTTAATTTTAAATGAGATCCCAATTAGAGTTGGTTTTATTTTTTTGAACAAAAAAGTTTTACCTTCCCCACACCTCATAAATTCTCCTCACACAGGAGTTGTAGGGGTGCATTTTATGGTATTAGTATAGCGCTATATGAATTAGAATAGACCTCAGAGCTTTATTTGGAGAGTCTTTTCCCCAAATGGTCATGACCAGAAATTCTGCCTCTGTTCTTATTTTTTCCCTAAGTAAATGCTGACTCTCTCGTGCAAAGCTGCCCCCATTCTGCTTCTCCAAGTCTAGTTCTCATTGTTTGTTACTATTCTCATAGACCCCTGTCTATCCAAGAATCAGCTCCAACTGATCTCAGGTGTATATATCAGCAAACTGGAAAGTGACCCTCCCTCCTAGAGTGGCACCATTTGGCCCACAAGCACCTTTAGGTCGTCAGGTCTATGATGTTCCAAGGACAGGTCTATTGTATAGAAAGGCAGCATAGTACAGTGACTAAGAGTACAGACTCTAGAGACAGACTGTCTAGATTTGAGCCATGGTTCTTCCATTTAAGTCATTGACCTTGGGCATCACCTAACCTCTGCACCTTGGTTTCCTCATCTGAAAAATGTGAATAAAGCCTGCCTCATAGTATCCTTAGAAAGATTCCATAAAAACTCTAAGTTACTTAGAAAAGCACTTGTTAGAGGAGTCCACAATCTGCAGCATATGGGCCAAATCCAGCCTGCTGCCTGTTTGTGTGACTAAAGTTTCACAGCAACAGCCACATACTCATTTATCCATTGTCTATGGGCTGCTTTGGAGCTGAAACAGAATTGAGTACTTGCAACAGGGCCCATATGCCACCCAAGGCTAAAACATCTTTTGTCTGAGTCAACCCCCCAGTCTACATCCAGCAAGTGCTGAAAAAAATATTAACTGTTAGTATTACAAATGCAGTAGTCACACCTCAATAGCATTTTTTATTTCATCACAATTAAGCAATTTTCCTTGATAACAGCAAACTGACTCAACTATAGAGACTGGTTTTCAGGGTGAAGAGGCTGTAAGTAATCTACCAGCTCTGGTCCAGAACTAAGAGGTTTCGGTAGTCACTTGTACTGGGATGGTTACACTGTGAACCCTGGATCTTAAAGTTCTTGTCAGGAATGTTTTGAAACTACTACTCTGGCCCAATAACAGTGGACCATGTGGGAAGAAAATGCTCCTGAAGTTAACTGCCTAACCAGAATCCATAATACGCTACCTACAAAACTGACCCAAATCCAGCAGTCGGGGAGAGATGAGGAAAGGCTCAGGTTGCTGGTCCACAGATCGTTACCTATTATGTAATCTGACAAGAGGACAATGGTCACCTTAATCCCACAAAGGAGCAAAGCAATGGCTTTCAGGCTAATTCTCACTGTGGGCTACAGACAGCACACGATACAGATTAGTCAGGGCTGCTCTGAAGGATCCTGTTTAAAACCACTTGCTATAACTATAAAATAAGGTAGGTAGAATTACTAAGATGATCTTTAAGCCCCACAGAATGCTATTAACCCAGATGATTGGTACTGGCTGTACTGAAAAAGTGTAGCCACTTTAGAATAGACAGCTTGACTAAAGATGCATGGGCCCTACTGGGAATGGATTCCAAAGCTTACCTGCAGCAGCGAGTCCTCTCCACTAGTGCCATGGTTCACCGGGAAAGGCATTCGTCCATCTAGAACAAAGCAGTCAGGCTTGTCAATTTTCTCTGCACATTTCCTGGCTACTCTGCTTGTCCAGCGTAAAGAGAAGTTTTAGATTCTTCCAAATACCACTGCCACCCCCACAAAGGAAGCCTAGTTATAAAGTAACATGCTGGAAATGAGGTTCAAGGGCTCCTAGATACCCACCCCAGGCCATTCTCATCTACAAGCAGTAACAAGATCACACAGCCCAATCCAGCCACCCTAACTGAAGGATTTGTGCCTCATCTCCTGGGAAGAACCACAGAGCAAAAGGCAAATTCAGTCTCTGACGTGCAAGAAGGTGGAGGCAAGAAGGGCACCTTGAGATTGCTACTGCCCCTCAATGACTGCCGATTAGCTCATTTGCCCATAGGCAGTGGCTTGACTTGAGACAACACAGCTTTCTCTATTAATACAAAGAGGATGACTCTTACAAGATGGATAATCTTTCTTGTTGCCATATGCCAGTTAAGAGAAATTGCCCCAACATGTGCAAGTCCTTTTTACACCAACAAGGTCATATTTAGGCATTTCTTTTTCCCAAAGCATTCCCTGTCTGAAAAGGATGATGCTAGAGATCCTATACTGACAGTGGTGTAATGGAAAGTGAGAAGAAAAAACTGAACACTCCCACCTTGACTGGTACTGGTCTAGTCTCTTTACTGGTATGACTAAAGCTACTCATTTGGCAGGTCAGTTGCCCAAGGGGAAGCTCTGGGTAGCATAAAGGATTAAGTTCTCTCATGAGAACACCCTGTTGTTCTGGCTTCCTAAACAATGTACTAAAGTGCTATAAAGTTACATGGCAATACTGAAAAAGAAAATAAGTATGAAACTGTATTAGATTCCAGAAATGGAGCAAAACATACCAAGTTCATAGAGGTGGCCATCCACGTTGTTAAACAGAATAAAGTGAAAGTTCACTTTGTCATCTACCTGAAGAGCCAAGAAATTTTTTTCGAAAATGAGTATTTTATAAAGCAGAACTTAATTTGTTAAAAATAAATGTAATATGCAGTAAGTATAATATCCTTGAATCAACTTGCTTGTATATTTTTGAAATTATTATAGATAATATTTATGTATTCCCTATATGCTAGGCTTTAATCTAAGTCCATTAAGGTAGGTGGGCTGTAGCTGTCAGAACTCTGTGACTTGCTTTTCACTGAGCAGGAAACTAAGGCTTAGGGAGGATAAGTATCTCATCCAAGGTCAAGACTGGAACGTGGCAGAGCAAACTCTCATTACAGAAGCAGTATAACTGACTTAAACCTAATTTAACAGTTGACTAGAAGGCTCTGTTCAGATTAACGGTACATAAGCCTTCTAGAAACTGTCAGTCCTTGTTTGTGTATCTTACTGTACCCAATAGTCTGTGAGAATATCGGAAATGCTCAATTACTAGGTGGGGTGTTACTCTATTAGATGCATTTGGATCTAAACAAAATACTATCAGTTTGAATTTACTCAAGGCTTTGTCAACCGCCTATTAGATTTCTGAGAGGCAGTTTCATAAACAGGTCTGGTCAAAGCATTATTCCAGCAGAATTTTCTAGTGGTAACTGGCCTTGGGTGGAAAATGACATTTGCTGTATTCCGGTAAGAGGTTAGTACACATATTTTAGGGAAAACACAGGTGGCACCTGGGCAGCCTACCTCTGATTTGTGTTTGTACCTACCCGACAGTGGCCTTCCTGGGCCACGGCGTCATGGGCTGCCTGAATGGCCTGAAGATAAGAGAGAATCATTAGCACAAAAACTTCCAGTTATTGAAAGAATGATGCTCTGGAAGTTCTCTTCCTACCTCATTCTTTTCAAAGCATTTTGCTCTGTCTTCAGGGGATAACTTCTCCGTTTCAGAAAGAAACTGTTTCAGGACTGAGCCATCCTCTTAAAAAAAAAAAAAAAAAAGCACATATTAGTACAGATAAAATAATGCAAATGGGTGCACATTTATTGCTGATTCAAGCTGTTGCACAGCCAGTCATGTTTAGCAACCTGAATTTTTACTATGGCCTCCAAGGATGTGGATGGGTTGTACCTTCTATCCCAGACTTTTTCCCACCATTCCCTCATCACTGCATTCAAGCCTGAGAACTCACCATTTCTTCCATGTGCCAAGCTTTCCTACCTGCTCCTGGTCCCTCCCCAACTCCCTTCACCTCCCATTCATCTCTCAAATCTCTTATCATCACTTCGTTACAGCACTTATCCATTGGTAACATGTATTTGTGAGATTTTTAGTGCCATAAAAATGAATCATGTTGTCTATTGCTGTACCTACAGCACCTGAAAATGCACAATTAATGTGAATTGCATACATGGTTAACAATAACATTCTAATCTAATAATAGTTCTCAGTCAAGATTTTTATCTTAGGGTAGAAAATACAAGCTTAGAAATACAGTTGTTCAAATAGACATTAACCTACGAATCTTATATAGAAATGCAAAGAGCCAAATAATCTGGCCTAGGGACAGCTGACTGGCTGACAGCTGTTGTGTTTAGTCGTTGCTCAGTGTGAATAAGTCTAGGAGACAGCGACTACCCAGTTAGAGCAAGAACAAATTAAATTTCCAAAGATCTAAACTTGAACTTTCAGCTCTAAACTTAAAAAAAGTATTTTGTTACATTGGGACTATTCAAAATTTGGAAGTGATAGAAATCTTCTTCACTTTATGAGGATGGCTGTGGTTCAGATTAAGCCTTTGGCACCATCATGACCATGGTTACAAAAAAATCACAGTACCTCTGCTGACCTCAAGAACGCAGTAGTGTAAACAAAGTGAGACTGACTGCAGAAGAAATAGAAAGGATCAAGCTACAACTTTCTAATATGGCTCAGTCAAGTTAATATTTGAAAAAGCAACTTCTAGATCTGGATGTTTATGGCCAGGCAGGTGATTTTTTTTTTTTAATTTCAAAAGTAATCCAGCAGTAGTCTTGGCTACATTTCCCTTGTAAAAAGAAATATTTTTTACACTGCCAGAAGCAAGTGTGGACTGTTAGTTGAAATTATTCAGTTCTTAGCCACCCCACCTATTGTCTAAATCAGATTCCTGTCTATTTTTGTAAAGTTCTGTCAGAACACAGCCACATCCATTGGTTCACATCGTGTCTATGGCTGCTTTAGCACTACAAGGGCAGAGATCATACGACCCTCAAGCCTGCAAGATTTACTCTCTGGCCTTTTAAAAAAGTTTGCTGACTCTTGGCCTAAATCAGACATAATAGCCATGTGTTTTAACATACTTTAGTGCTAATTGGGCCTCTGACAAGCTTTAGGGCTGAGCCTCACTCATGTCCTCTATGTCCTTCGCAGCATCCACGGAGGGTGGGCTAAAGCCCCTGACCTGACTTTGTCCGCAGCTGAATCCTTTCGAGGTTGCGATCTGCTGCTGTGCCTCTCTGCGGGAACTTTCACACTACCTGTGCCCCGCTGCTCTAAGCTCTTTTGGTTCTCCTGTTCCTTTTGAGACCCAGAACCATTAAAGACAGGTCCTAACTGTTGATGTTTTAAGGCTTAATATCATCTCTAATTCTTCAGAATCATTGAGAATTGAATGTAGGAGAATCACAACAATAAGTGGCCCTCACATGTTCTTTATCAGTCACCTGAGACCCATCCAAGCTGACTACAAATGAAGAGCATATGCAGAGTGACAGTACAAAACTGTATCACTCCCTCGCCTCTCCAGGTGAAGAAGCCAAGCCACGCTTCTTAGAAAACGAGTTTCCTTTCCTCAAAAGAGAAACAAGAATTCACCCACTGATTATATCTGGATAAGCAGGTTTCAGAATTTTTGAAAGAAATGTCTTTGCTGAATAGACCACTGGGGGTTTCAGAATGAAGACTGATGGTTAATTAGAGGTCAACTGGAGGATGACTGGCCTCAAAACTCACACTTACCAAATTCCAGTTTGTCCTGATTATTGGCCACTGCATGTATAAGTCCAATGGTACCACAGGAGTTCCCAATGGTCTGCTTCATGAAGTACACTCTAGGACTGACTTCTTGTCCCTTCAGTTCTTCAATCTGTTTTTTCCTGAAGTTCTCATGCTGTGAATGTAAAAAAAACATGTTAATATCTCAAAATTAAAATGCAAAGAACAGATGGCTGCACAGTAAGTTCTGCCACGTAAATGGAAACACAAGTAGGATGTGTGACCAGGAGCCTTGGTTCTAGATGCCGACCAACGCTCAGGGAATGGCCCGTCTGCCTCCCACACCCACACCAGCCCGTGGAGTTCTGAGAGGTCCTGAGACTCCACCCAGATGCTGCAGTGCAGTAATGGCTTTGGATATTGCCCAAGGCTTTGTCTAGACACCACTGCAGCCTTTTAGCTGGAAGTGGATGGTGTCATGAAGTCAAAAAGCACACAAGTTCATTATATAACCTGGGAATTTTAAACAGAAATGTGAAGAGCCAAATAGGTTTCTTTCTCTAACACCAGCAATGACTGTATTCCACATGGGCGTCCCAATCAAGCCTTAGTTAATTTAATAGTCAACAAGAATACCAGTTATTTTATAGCCCACTGTTCTTTAACATTCCACTTCTATTCTATCCAAGTATACTTCTCTTCAAAAACAAGACAAGCCTTAACTGTTGAAGGTAAATTTAAAGAAATTTATAAGTCCCTCTCCCTTTTTTTATGAAGGAAAGACAACTGGCCTAGGGTACTGGCTGTGATTTCACAAAAACTCCCCCTCACCCTATAAGAAGAAATGACACTGGTTTGTCTTTGCCAACTATACAGGCTGAGGCCAGATTAGCAATGAGAGGTGGAGAGGAGAGTAGAGACCAGTAAATGAATGAGACTAGTAGTTTTCTCAAAGCATCCATTAGTTCTTTGTACAGTATTTAGTGGGCTTGTCTGAACCTTTCACTAACAAGTTTTAAAGACCTTGCAGGTATAACTTCTCAGTTAAAAGCAAGGTGCTAATGCTACAGAAACACTATTCCCATAACCAGTATAATTCAGACAGAACACCAGAAGTGTATGTCCAATTCTAGTAGCCTTCCATTATGTACATGGAACTGAAGTTTAGGCATTGTTGGTGGCACCATCAGAGTAATACGATCTCTTGTCCCATAAGATCAACTTAAACTCCAACTAGGGGGAAGTTCTAGCATCACGTGTCTACCAGATCCTTAAATTGAGTTACTCATTGTCTATTAAGGCTTTTCACTTTTCCAGGTTAATTAAAATTTTTAAACGCGATAGCACCATCCTTAGGGTTGTTTTGAGCTCTTGCATGGAGACACTTATTTAAATATTTCATTATCACTTAAAATTAATGTCTTAGAAGTGGTCCATTTAGGATTTCACAACATTCTCTTAGACAAAATTAAATGCCTTCTATATTAACATTAGTTTGTTTGGAAGCCAACCTACAAACCTCAACTTTTCTTTAAATTTGCTTTAGTGTTTAGCCCAGTAGGTGTTTTGTGTCGCAGAATAGGTGCTCAGTAAACCTGACAGACTGAACTGGAACAAAAAATCTAAGTACTGAGCTCTTTCAAACATAAAATGTTCAAACAGGAACATTCTCTAACAGAAACCACTTGATCCAGCAAAAAGACCAGTGGGCTTTTCAAAGACAAACACACTGCACCACTGCCTCCCAGAGGCTTTGCATCTGAGAGCTGCTCAAAACCTCCGAGTCATCATGGTTCCTCTAGTAAGAAAGCTTTGTGATGGGCTCAAAGAAGAGAGGAGATTGCATTTCATTTGGTCAACAGTGAAGTTAATTTGACTTGCAATTTTTGGCAGCTCCGTTTTTACCTAAGTAAAAGCTTTGGCAATAAAAAGCATGTCACTGGGATTATCCTAATAGCTTTAATAAGGGTTTTTAACCTATTTACAGGAGGAAAATCTGGAATTTCCATAGGGCTTAACTGATGCAGAGGGTGCTTCTAGAACACCCAGACTTAGGATGGTGCTTCAGTTAGGCTCACTCTGTGTTTGGAATGATGCCCCAAATGCTAATGCCTCAAGTTTTGTTAACGGAAATTTTCAACCACTCCCAAATCAAGCAGCAGCAACAGGGGATAGACAATACCATGCTAATTAGTGGAAATCCATACATTGCAAGACAATTATCCCAGCTACCTTTTTTTATATCTGATGCTCAGTCTTTGAGGTACATATATCCATGCACACTTGTAGGAGGAAGACCATCTAAAGGGAAATGAAAAGGTGTTTCCGAGACTGTTCTAATGCCCACCTAATTCATTTACCTACAAGGTCAGATAGGAGAGGATGAGAGAGGTGGAAGGTGGCGGCCACACAAGAACCATACACAAACGATTATGCTTTTTTCAAAAGCACACTGGTGAAGCTAAAATCCAAGTGTGCATGTAGCAGGGAGTGGAAGAGTGGGAAGAATTCCCCGAGCCCACCGGAGACCGAGGCAGTAGAGGTGAATTGAAGCACCCATTGTTTTCTTGTGGTTTAGGCAAGCCCATCCCCCTCCGTTTAACAGCAAGGTAGGAGTCTGAGAACCAAACACACTGGCAGGTGACAGTCCTTAAAGGGAACCCACCAGCCATGCCTTAGCATGGAAGGCTCAGAAAAGCCTAGGTTCAAAGAGCTTATGAGTAGGATGAATTCCTTCCCTGACGGATGATGGAACTGAGATCCTGCATCTCTTCCAAATTTGAGGAAATGCTGGCTGGCTGGCTGGCTGAACAAGGGCAATAAGCTCTATCTACAACGGGAGCCCCCATGTGCAGGTACCAAGAGTGTGGGCTCCTCCCTCCATCCCCCAAAGGGAGGGGACGGTTTTGCCAGCTGTGGGCGCCTAGGCCAGGTGGGAAGAGGAGCCTGGAGTCTATACTGTCCTCAAGGCCTCATCTGGGTCCGGGGGCGACGCGCAGGCCGGGCCCACGCCCTACCTGGGCAGTGAGGGGAAACAGCAGCAGCAGAGCGCAGGCCGGCGCGGGCACCGCGCTCAGGCCGTCCTCCTCCAAGCCCAGCACGTCCACGAAGCGCCACTGCCCGGCGACCCCCAGGCGCGCCAGCACCTG